CCCCCCCTCCCGTGCAGCTCCTCGGTCACTGCGTCCTTCGGCCGACTTCCCCTTCGGCCGACTCCTTCGGCCTTCCTCCGCTGAGGCCGTCCTTATTTAGGGTTCCTTGGGTCAACGCCCCGACTGTATTCAGCCTACGTGCTGAGCTCCGTGTCTATACGCTACGTGCTGCGTGTTGCGCATCGGGGCAGCTGAGGCCCTCGATCCGGCGCGCCGTGCTGCGTGCGAGCAGGGGGGGAACAGCCTCCGAGTTCGAGGACGTGCCCAGTGCCGGCCCCGCTTCGCCGAGGAGTCGCCCTCTACCCGCGCCGCTCCTGCGCGCACCCTGCGCTCGCGGTGCCACTCTTGAGAGGGCTTCGGGCGAGTGGCCCGCCTCGAGCATGTGCGGGCCTCAGCGCACAGAACTGCTGGGAGCTTTCGGGACGAGTGTGCGCCGCGGTGGGGCGAGAGCCACGGTTTTGGAACCACCGACCCACCATCCGCGTGTCTGCTGGAAGTTGTTAAGGCGAGTACGTGCGGCGCCAGGCGAGGGTCGCATTTTGAAACCGACCGTCCCTCCGCCATTTCCGAGCGGAGTACGTAAGCGCCCTCAGCTCGGAAGCGTTTTGGGCGCATGTTCGAGGCGTTACGGCGAGAGTCAGATTCTTGAAACAACCGACCCTCCATCCGTGTAAAACTTGACAGGAAGTCTCAATTAACAAATATTGAGAACAACATATTCCAGCAACAAATGAAGAAAGCTGGAAGCTCCAAGCTCCGGGCAAAAAAAACTGGCAGGAGGTCTCAAGCGAGAAACGCACCGCCCAGCCTGCGGACACGCCTGGGGCTTCGAAAGAGCGGGGCAGATCTTGAAAGGAGGGGTACACAACGGGCTGGAGGAGAAGGAGGAGGAGGAGGAGGGCAGGAGGAGGAGGATGAGGAGGAGGAGGAGGAGGGCTGGAGGAGGGCTGGAGGAGGATGAGGAGGAGTTGGAGCAGGAGGAGAGGAAGTGCAGGAAGAGAATGAGGAAGGGGATGAGGAAGATGGCTGGGGGAAGACGAGGGAGGGGAGGCGGATGAGCAGGAAGATGAGTGTGATGATGCTGATGATGATGATGATGATGATGATGATGATGATGATGATGATGATGCTGATGATGCTGATGATGGTGATGGTGAAGATGAAAAAGAATGTTGAGGATATTAATGATGGTGATAATGATGATGATGAGGACGAGGAGAAGGAGGATGAGGATCAGGATGAGGATCACGATGACGATCACGTTGATGCTGACGACGCTGCCGATGCTAATGATGATGATGCTCATGATGACGACGGCCATTACCCTTATCATGATGATGCAATTCCTGAGGTTGCCGATGACGCTGATCATGATATGATGATGGTGGTAATGCTGAGGCGAACAATGATGACTATGTTGCTGCTGCTGATGATGCTGATGATGATGCTGATTATCCTGATGATCATGATGAGCATGTTGACATTGATGATGATGCTGATGATGATGATGACGATGATGATGATGATGATGATGATGATGATGATGATGATGATGATGATGATGGTGATGATGATGAGATGGTGATGATGTTGATGTGGAGGCGGATGAGTAGAGGGATGAAACTGATGCTGAGGAGAGGGAGGAGGAGGAGCTGGATGAGGGGGAGGAGGAGGACGAGGAGGACGAGCAGGGCAAGAAGGCAAGGAACATGAGGGTGAACATGATGAGGCAGAGGCGTTGAAGGAGTAGGGGGTGGAGAAGGCTGATTATGCAGTGATGAAAGATGATGCTGCTGATGATGGTGATTCTGATGATGATGACGAGGAGGAGGAGGAGGAGTAGGGGAAGGAGGAGGATGAGGAGAAGGTGGATGAGTGTGATCGTGATCTCGAGGATATCGAGGATGGGAAGGACGGGAAGGATGAACAAGATGAGCATGCGGGGCATGATGGGAATGAGGGAAGAGGAAGAGGGTGAGAAGGTGGAATCTGATGATGCTGGCGGATGATGATGATGATGATGATGATGATGATGATGATGATGATGATGATGATGATGATGATGATGATGATGATGATGATGCTGACGCTGATGCTGATGCTGATGCTAATGCTGATGATGCTGATCATGGTGACGGTGTTGATCACGACCACGATGTTTATTTTGCTGATCGGAGGAAGCATGTCAGTGATGATGACGGCGATGGCGATGACGATGACGATGACGATGATGATGATGATGATGATGCTGATGATGACGATGATGTTGATGCTGATGCTGATGCTGATGCTGATGCTGATGCTGATGATGATACGGATGCTGATGATGATGGTGATGATGACGATGCTGATGATGACAATGATGTGGATGAGGAGGAGGAGGAGGAGGAAGAGGATAATGATGCTGCTGATGATGCTGATAATGAGTATGGTGATGATGCTGATGATGGTGGTGATGATGATGATCATCATCATGATTATGCTCATGATCCTGATGATCATGATGATACTGTGGAGGAGGATCAGGTAATGGATGAGGATGGTGTTGAGGAGGAGGAGGCAGATGAGGAGGAGAACAAGGAGGAGGAGTCGGGCACGCGGGGGAATGAACATGTGAGTGACCATGATGAGCAAGAGGCCTTATATGAAGACGCGGCGAAGCAGGATAACTATGTTGTTGATGAAAGAACTGCTGATGATGACAATGATGACGATGATGATGCTGATGATGATGCTGATGATGATGCTCATGATGATGATGCTGCTGTTGCTGATGATGCTGATGATGATGGTGGTGCTGATACCGATGCGGATGCTGGTGCTGATGCGGATGCTGATGCTGATGCTGATGCCGGTGATGCCGATGATGGTGCTGATGCTGATGCTGGCGATGCGGATGATGGTGCTGATGACGCTGATGAGGAGGAGGAGGCGGAGGAGGGGGAGGAGACTGTTCATGATGAGGACGACGATGACGATGACGATGACGACGACGACGACGACGATGATGATGATGATGATGATGATGATGATGATGATGATGATGATGATGATGATGATGATGATGATGATGATGATGATGATGAGCATCATCAGGATGATGAAGATGGTGATGCTGATGATGATGACGATGATGATGATGATGGTGGTTGTTATGATGATGATTATGACGATTACGATGATGATGATGATGATGATGATGATGATTATCATTATTATTATTATTATTATTATTATTATTATTAGTATTACTATTATTATTTCATTGCTGACTGTTGTCATGGTGCTAGTGATGGTGGGTTTGGCGGAGCGCTGTGTTCCCCCAACTCGCGCTGGCAAAATGGCTTGGGTACAGCTCTGTAAAGGCAAGCACCCTCACTACACTCGTCGTAAGCTCGGTGTATCTGTTGATGTTGATGCGTTTGTTGAATGTTTCAACAGGCCAGGCTTTGATGAGCAGGTGGTTTTACAGCCCGCCAGAGCTCCTCTCTCTTCCTCCTCTGGTGTGGAGCGGGGGGTGGAGTCTGGGCGGGACGGTGCGGGAAATTGGGATACTCTCTTCGGTGCTGAAGAGGAAGCTTCGAGCTTCCTCTTCGAGCGATCAGCTAGCGCGTCTAGCATTGCTCGTAATGTACCTGAGGATGAGGCCCCTCAGCAGGCGATGAGGCATGGCCCCCATCAAGTGCTACGACGGGACAAGCCTTCTTTCCTGGCGAGGCGCCGACGGGATCAGTCGGACAGTTCGGATTGATACCTCTTTGGCGCAGGGACGCCCTTTCTTCTTCTATCTTGCACGGCCCGATGCGTCTGACCCTTTTGGCAGGCATCCGTGCTATACCCCACATCTGGGGCGAGGTTGGCAGTCGTCCTGGCGCTGGTTGCACCAGGGACTGCTGGCCTCGTCGTTCTTGTGTGGGTGGTCGAGCTTTTCCTCTGGCGTGGGTACGCCTTTCTTTTCGTTTCTGACAGCACGGCCCGATGCGTCTGTCCCTTTCGGCCGGCATCCGTGCTTTTACCCCACATCTGGGGCGAGGCCGACGGTCGTCCTGGCGCTGGCTGCACCAGGGGCTGCGGGCTCGCCGTCCTTGTGTGGGTGGTCGTTTTGTCCTGCGGTTTTATTTTGTGCGCTGTCTCGTGGTGCGTGCGTCCGTCGTGCACGCGTGTCAGGCACCCCGCTTCTGGGGGAAGGTACATGCACATCTAGGGTGCGCCGCTTCCTCTCTCCGAGCACGGGGGTGGCCCCATCCCGACTGTGGCTCGGGTTTAGATGTTGCCGCGGCCAGGAGCCTGGGGCTCTTGGCCCCAACATCTCTCTTCGTTTGCGTGGGCGGGCGTCTCGTGCGTATGTGCGTTCGCTGGCCCCGCTTTCTCGGCTCTCCGCCGCTGGGGGCTGTCTCGGCTCTCCTGGCGGGGCGCTGTCTTGACCGTTGTTCCTCTTGCACAGCCGAGGGCAGACGGTCCGAGATGTCTTTCCCTTTGCAGGACATCTGTTTTTTTTGGTTTTGTCTTTACGCTTGCAGCTCGGCGTGCGTTTTGTTGCCCTGTGTGCCTGCCCCTCTCTTAGGGATGTTGCGGCAGGTGCGCATTGTGCTGGCACGTCAGGACGCAGGGACCCCTTTGGTCTCTCGAGCTGGTTTCACTTGCGCTGATGACTCAGACTTGGTCTGTGTCAGGGAGCCAGCATCCCCCTCCGCTGCTGGCTCTGACCCTCGATTGCTTCGAGGATGTGGAGGTGTGACGTGGATGTCAAAAAATGGTGCTAAAGATGGTGATGATGACGATAATGGTGCTGGTGCTGGTGATGGTGATACTGATGATGCTGCTGCTGATGATGCTGCTGATGATGATGACGATGATGAGTTTCACGACGAGGAGGAAATGATAATGCAGAGAATGACGATGCGGGCGAGGAGTCCTAAGAGCAGCGTCAGCAGCTGCCGAAATTGCATTTGCAAGCACAGGTTCTGCTACTTCTACATTGACCAGTTCGCCTTCATGCTCTACAAGGCGGCTGAGCTCGGGCTCACGCGCCACCCTGCCGCCCCCTTGTCTCGTCTTCTCCTGCTCCTCCTCCTCCTCCTCCTCCTCCTCCTCGGGAGAAGGGGTGTCCGTCCGTCCACAGCACGGAAGGGGCAGAGAGAACGAAGTGCATGGAAGGGGAAGGGAGAGATATATGTGTATATCTATGTGTGTGTTTATAGACACGCGTACACAAACATACATAAACACATACATCAATATATATGTATATATATACATATACATATGCACATACACATGTGTATATGATCATACATATATATATATATATATATATATATATATATATATATATGTCCCTATATGTTTGCAACCCCGGGCGGGGGGAAAACCCCTCCCGCCCCCAAAAAAACGGACTCCCGGGATCTGGGGCTTTGGGACCCTCCGGACGGGCCTCACGAGAGCCCGAAGACGGCCCCAGACGGGTTCCAGGCGTTCCGGCGCGCTCCCAAAACGACCCCAGAGAGCTCCAACACGGTCCATGACGACCCCCAGCGTCATACCTCGAAAGATCGCTCCAAAGCGTACCAAGAGGCCTCCAAGAGCACCCCCAAAAAGGCCCCAAGAAGGAAAAATCATTGATTTTACATAGGTTTTTGGTGAATGTGAGGTTCTCCTCTTTTCGGCTTCCCGACGCTCCAAGACGGCGGTCTTCTGGGCGTCCGAAGCCGCCTGAGAGGCTTCAAAATCGCCCCACAACCATCCGAAAGGGCTTCCAGGGAGTCCAAGAGAGCCCCAAAGCGGCACAACAGGGGTCCAAGATGGCCCTAAGAGAGCCCCATGGCGGCCCAAGATGGCCCCAAGACGCCCTCCGAAGCATTCCAAGTCGTGACCGGGGCGTTCAGGGAGACCGCGGTTAGAGGCAGGTTGGCCTCAGGAAGCCCCAGAGGCCCCCAGAACACGCACAGGAGGCCTCCAGGAGGCTTTAAGAAAGCCTGAGAACTTTGGTGAGGCCCCCAGAGGCTCTCCAAGGAGGACCCTCCGCAAAAAGAGCTGAGGAGGATGGGAAGAATGCCCAGGGTATGGCGAGAATGAGGACAAATAAACATGGAGGAAGGACGATGCCAGAAAAGGCAGCAAGGAGTTATCGCTAAATCGTCGGCTTGACCTTCCTGCCATTTCCGCCTGCATACCAAACTTCAAGGACCAAGGTGCATGGCGCGAAGCGCCACTGCAGTCTTGTATGTATATATATGTATATATATATATATATATATATATATATATATATATATATATATAGGGAGGTTGAGTCCGACGTAAAACGGAGACTCCCCCTACCGGGAAATCGATTTCGGTTTCGGGTTCGTGTCGTGCGTGCCGTGCGCGCCTGCGGGCGAGGCGAAGCTGCGTGGGCGGGCGAGAGGAAAACCTCCTGTGGCTGGTCCGCGGCCGGACAAATGTTGCTCCTCCAGCGGCCGGTGGCCCGCGGTGTCCCGCCGGTGTCCCGCTGGTGTCCCGAAGTCCTCCTGTGGCTTGGCCGCGGCCGGACCAAATTTTTCTCCTCCAGCGGCCGGTGGCCCGCGGTGTCCCGCCGGTGTCCCGCTGGTGTCCCGAAATCCTCCTTTGGCTGGGCCGCGGCCAGACCCTCCGGCGGCCGGTGGCGCGCGGTGTCCCGCCGGTGTTCCGCTGGTGTCCCGCCACGTGCACAATCACACTACTCACTAGACTCCGCCCCACAGGCATCGTCAGAACAACAATCATCACTTTTGCCCACTGCTGCCCCCCGAACCTCCTTATCACCCGCAGGGTGGTCGTATAGGTGTGTCTATATATATATATATATATATATGTATATATAAATATACAAGACTTGCAGCTCGCTGCGCTTCGCTTGGAGGTCTTGGCACGATGCGCCGGCGTAAAGTGTGCGAGTGAAGTGCGACTACGCGGGCTGAAGCGTCGGCGATGGGCAGGGGCGGGGATGGGAAGGTCACGGGCGCACGGGCGTCGGCCCATGGAGTGCGCGCGCGCCGTGCGCGCGCGCCGAGTTGGCAAGGGGCGATGCGCGCGACGGTCATCGGCGATGAGACTAGGCGGGGATGCAACGCCGAGAGCAGGGGAAGGGAGAGGGAGGCTTCGGATGAGGTGAATACAACGAAAAGGGCGCTGGCAACGATGGTGGCCTCATACCTCTGCAGATTTGGGTTGGGAAGGTCACGGGCGGCGACGCCGCACAGTTTGGTGATGATGTTTTTTTTCTCACTGAGTGTAGAGGCGATCCTGACGCGGTGCTCTGCAAAATCGGAGCGGCGACGAACGCCCCCGAGCCTGCTTTTAAAAATCGGCGCGTAGCGTATGTATGTATGTATGTATGTATGTATGTATGTATGTATGTGTATATATATATATATATATATATATATATATATATATATATATATATTCGTAAGGGCATCGCCCCCTGCCGCCAGCCCCCTCGCAATCATAATGGGATATAGCAGAGTCGCGTCGGAGCGTCTCGGCGCTGCCTTGGCGCATCTGGGAACAGCATGCGGGGGCGGATAGGAGTCATCAGCGCATATTGAAACGTTGGCGTCATCGAAGACGCCTACGGCGAATTACCGCCGCCCCCTGCTTTTTTGGAAGCGCCTATGTGGCCGAACGCTGAGGCCACACCTGCCAAGCTATCGGACCATGTGTTCCCCGAGTCGGTTTGGAAAGCCTTCGGTGAATACGTGGGCATCTTGAAGGTCATCTTGGCTGCCTGGAGGCCATGTTGTCCCTTTCGGGCCTTTTTGGAGGACGTCTTGGAGGGTTCTTGGGCCGTCTTGGAGGCCATCTTGAGCGCCTTGGAGGCCTCTTGGGCCGTCTTGGGGGCCTCTTGGGGCCGTTTTGGGCCTCTTGGGCGATCTTTGGGGGCACTTTTGGCCGTCCCGGGCGGTCGGAAGCCAAAACAAAAACGAATGCCATAATCCTTCAAAAACTCAAAGGAAATTGATGAGTTTCGCTTTTTCGGGCCTTCCTGGAGGCCCTATTGGAGGCCTCTTGGGCCGTCCTGGGCCATCTTAGTGCCATCTTCGGCCGTCTTGGTGGGCCCCTGGCCCGTCCGACGCCGTCGGAAGCCGCTTGGGGGGCCTCTCTGAGCCGACTTGGGGCCCTCTTGGAATGCTCCAGGGCCGTCTTGGAGGCCATCTTGGGCGTCTTAAGAGCCTCTTGGGCCGTCTTGGGGGCCTCTTGGGCCGTCTCGGGGGCCTCTTGGGCCGTTCTGGGGCCATCTGTGAGGCATCTTGGGCGATTTTTGGGCGATCTTTTGGGACTCGTGGGCCGCATCGGGCCGTCGGAAGGCCGACAAAAAGCAAATGTCAAGCTCCTTCAAAAACCCAAGGCAAATACATGTTTTTGGCCTTTTTGGGCCTTCCTGGAGGCCCTCTTGGAGGCCTCTTGGGCCGTCTTGGGCCAGCTTCGAGCCATTTTCGGCCGTCTTGGTGGGCCCCTGGCCCGTCCGACGCCGTCGGAAGCCGTTTGGGGGGCCTCACTGAGCCGACTTGGGGCCCTCTTGGGGTGCTCCAGGGCCGTCTTGGAGGCCATCTTTCGCGTCTTGGAGGCCTCTTGGGTCGTCTTTTTGTGCCCCGCATAGTCTGGCAAATCGCTGCCCGTTAATACTCGTCAATCCTATCGCTGAAAACCCGTTGAAGGCGACCAGAACGAATGAATATCCGACCGTATGAACGTGAGCAGCAGTGAAACCGTCAGTCAGATTCTGACCGTCAGCTTGGAAGTAGTATAAGTGCTCTACTTGGGGCGCCAACGAATGAACCTGCATGCGCCCAGGGGCCAAGATCCACTCGCCACCCTCGGTGGCTTGATCGATACCAGCTGCACGGACGTGCCGGTTCGTTGCCCTCGCGCGGGGCTGGCAATGAGACGAAACCTACCTGCGCGTGCTTCACGATGCCATCGATTCAGTCCTGAACGAGAGGCACGTGTCTCGACAGGGCAGAGCAAACGAAATCGCCGGGGAGAGCGAGCCTCCCGAACGAATTTCCACACCTTGAGAGCGAGCCTCCCGAACGAATTTCCACACCTTGTCCCCCATGGCAGTGACGTGACCAGACAAGCTGCATCTGATCCTCGTTCCCCCAGTCCTGCGAACGCAATCCGAATTTGGGCTGGCCCCCCTGAACCCACCCCTAGAAGGGGGAGGAGGAGGAGGAGGAGGAGGACGAGGAAGAGGAGGAGGAGGAGGAGGAGGAGGAGGAGGAGGAGGAGGAGGAGGAGGAGGCGGAGGAGGAGAAGGAGGCGGAGGAGGAGGAGGAGGAGGAGGGGCGGAGGCGGAGGGGGGAGGAGGAGGCGGAGGAGGCGGAGGAGGAGGAGGGGCCCCTGGGCTCTGCAAGGGCCCTCCGTGCCCCTGCCTCGTCGGAGCCCAGCCGCTGCTCGGCAGCCGGGCCCTTGGCGGCCTCCGCCTCGGTGGCCTGCCCCCGCACCGCGCACCTCGCCTCGGAGAGCCTCCGAGCCTCGGCGGCCGCGCGGGCGGCCCTGGCCTCCTCGGCGCCCGCGGCGTGCGCGGCAGGCGCGGCCGCGGCCGCGGCCTGGGGCGCCGATGCCCACCGGCTCCACGCCCCTTCTGGGCGAGCCTGGCCGTCGTGGCCGCTCGCACCTCCTTGGCCCTGGTGATGACTTGCGCGCACTGCTCGGCCTTGCCGTCGAAGAAGGTCTGGGCCTCGATCGGCTCCGTGTGCACCTTGTCAAGCTCGAGGCGCTCTGCTTCCTCGCATCCGAGATCTTGAAGGTCCCCGAATAATTCTTGATCGTGCTGGAACTCGAAGGGTCTGCCTGAGGTTGGTGCCGTCGTCGTCGTCGGAGCCGACGGCTGCTGCCCTGAAGCAGCGCCCTCACGAGTGGCTAGGATGGTGGCAGCCTGCTTCTTGGTGAGCTCCGCCTCGGCCAGCCCCTTGGCTAACCGCTGTTCCTCCTCCCGCGCAGGACCCAGCTGTTTCTTCAACCGCACCGCGGCCTG